CCAAAGAACCCTCCAGACTCTTTAGAACAAAAAAAAAAAAAAAAATGCATGGAAAAAAAAAGCATGTATTTACATCATATTCTTTACTTTGAAAAGGTTTAATATTTGTTCGTGAAAAGGTCTAATTAACCTTAAAAAGTTTAATGCTTACTGAGATCAATTATCTTCACTTATATCAGCTAAATTAATAAAAGTGAGATTAAAAGGGTATTTGTATAATATTTGTCTTGAAATCTCTCATTCTGTACTAAGTCATTTTGTTCCATCTAAAGAGAGAGATTTTTTTATAAATTTATTTTTTATTGGTGTTCAATTTGCCAACATATAGAATAACACCCAGTGCTCATCCCATCAAGTGCCCCCTAAAGAGAGAGATTTTAGTAAGGTAGTATTTTCCACCGAGAATGACTTTTTAAAATAATAATCTTGTCTGATTGTGAAGCCTCTTGGGTTTATCCTTTAGATTTCAAGCAAAGTAACCCGCCCGGGTTTCTATATTAACTGCAATACATGCCCCAAAAAAGCCCTTTATAATGAGGTATTATTCATAGATGCTTTTAAACAATCGCTAAATCTGACTCCTTAAACAAGTATCTAAAGAGAAAACAGTCATTATGTTATTTCAGAGGAACCTCAGAAGGCATGTTAGGACTGGTGGGGTTTCTTGAACATAATACAAGTTCTTTGACATTGAACCAAGAGCTAAAAAATACTGCATTTTAAAAAAAGAAAGCTATCTGAGGTTATGATGCACTTGATTTACACCAGGAATGTTTTTTTAAAAATTTTTTTAAAGATTTTATTTATTCATTCATGAGAGACACAGAGAGAGAGGGAGAGGCAGAGACACAGGCAGAGGGAGAAGCAGGCTCCCCACAGGGAGTATGATGATTGAGGACCCCGGGATCATGACCTGAGCCAAAGGCAGATGCTCAACCACCGAGTCACCCAGGGGTCCCTATACCAGGAGTGTTTAAAATATTCATAAAAGAATGATGAGCTGCTCAGTAGGTATTTTTTTCCCCTGGGGTGAGGAGAGCTCTCTGCAATACAAATTTGAGCTGAAGAAAACCAAATATTCAAAAAGCTACGGAGGTTAAACAAGTTTGGTTAATTCAGCTTTACAAGAAAATCCATGTCAGATGTGCTCAATTGCTTGTGTCGCTCTTCGTTAACATGGCACGGGCTTTGCAACAGGTGGAGTCATCACTCCTGCTTCCGTTCACCCAACATGTACTGAACACCTGTTAGCTCTCTGTTTCTAGGCCCCCACCCAGTTCCCGAAGGAAAGCAAGCATACAAAGTTACTCATCTCTGGAGGATCACATTCTAGAAGTGAGGGGAAATCAATGAACGTGTGCTTATGTTAGGTGGGGGTGTCTGCTAGAGGGAAAACCAAGGAGTGGAGCAGACGGCGAAACCAGTGGTGGGAACAGGCGAGGTAGCAGCCCAAAACTAAATTAATTTTAACTTTAAAGCAGCATCTGAAGTTCGTAGCGACCAGAGCCAGTGTCTGAAGCATGCAACCGTGTGTCCCAGAAGCTGATTACAGACTCCAAATTTGTCAGTGACTGGACACCCGGGAGACCTCAAAAAAAACCAAAAAACAAAACAAAAAAAACAAAAACAAAACAACACAAAAACAATGACAATGCCCAAAACAGAAGTTGTTTGTTGAAAACATATTGAAAATCTAGATGCCACATTAGACATTTTATGTATATTATTTTTTTTGTTATGGCATTTTTGGGATTTATTTTAGGTTTTTCCATTTCAGAGATTAATAGATGAAATACAGCCACGTCTAACTTGCAACTCCCACCACCGAGAAGTGGAACTTATGTCACTGCACCTTGAATCTGGTTTTTGTTAGGAGATGGCGGGAGAAGTAACATCGTGGGAGTCCTAAGGCCTGACTTCAATAGAACCTCAGTTTCTGCCTTCGTGCTCTTGGGACCTTGAGGGGGCCATGCAGTGAGGGAGCTTGCAGCGGAAGGCCACCCACAGGAAGGCTCCAGAAGATTCAGCTGTCCCAGGGGTGCTTGGGCTCAGGCAAGCAAGCAATTTCTGAGCAAATCTGAGTGAGATTGGCAGAAAAACCTCCCAGGTAACCACACAGTCCATAGATAGAGTAAGCCTTTGTTGTCAGAAGCCTCTAAGCTTTGGGGCAGTGTTTTATGCTGGATGAGAAAACTGTGGCCTAGGCAGAGAAAGCAAAGCCGACTGTGTTCAGAAGCTCAGGGCAAGAAGGTACAGAGGCAGGACTGCAGGTCTCGTCTGTCTGTCTAAAGCCACCCACCTTTGTAGCACTGCATTTCCCATTTTCCTGCAAATCCATTTTTTTTATCATGGAAAAAAATGATGTTAAGGTAATGCATACATGTCTACCATACTCAAAATTTCTATGATTCTGTGAATCTATGAGCACTTAGGTACGTACATTCCCCTCCTGAGCCCCTTCCTCAAATAATCACACCATCCTGGCAATTTCCAGGAAAAAAAAAAATGTTCTTATGTCACTAAATAAAATTCCAGCTACACCTGGAATTTTAGAAGCTATCTAACTGAAGACAAATTCCTCTATTTCCAATATGAAAAAAGAAAAGAAAAGAAAGAGAAAGAAAGAAAGAAAGAAAGAAAGAAAGAAAGAAAGAGAAAGGAAAGGAAAAAAGCAAAGAAAAGACAAAAAGAAAAGGAAAAGAAAGAAAAGAAAAGAAAAAAAGAAAAGAAAGAAAAGAAAAGAAAAGAAAAAAGAAAAGAAAGAAAAGAAAAGAAAGAAAAGAAAAGAAAAAAGGCAGGGGAAATTATAATAGCCACCCAATATAGCTATGAGGAGATGGACTAAGGGGTAGGAAATGCCTTAGTGCGTGCATAGGATGACATTCGGTGCAGTGGGGCACTGCATGGTCCTTGCATCTGTGTACATACGTATATAGTCTTAAGTGATTCATCCCAAGTAATACCCTCTGGTCACAAGGCACCGAGATTAAAGACAGTCCCAAATCATTGGATGGTCCTTTCATTGAGGTCCAAGGTTTAGGTTTTCTCTCCTTGTATGTCTTGGAATTCTATGTCACCATGTAAGAAATCTCACTTTTCTGAGACTACCAGGCTGTGGAGGAGGTCCAGTTAGTCACATGAAGGAGCCCCCTCAGTGCAGCCATCTCGATCCAGGTGACAAAGGTACACCAGCTAGAGCTGCCAGGGCACATGGGGCCTAGAGACAGTAGCCTACTTCCACCCACCAAGCCCCAAATCATTAACGATGTCACATTGTTCTTTTGTGGCAGCTTATTGTGTTGAAATAGATAATCAGGACACACGCGCTTCTAATTCAAGACAAAAATCCTTAAAATTTCTGTCACAGTTAATAACTTCATGGCTGCTTGGAACAGATCTGTCTCCATTTCCCACCTGCCCTCCCACCAGCCGACCGACACACACACCCTCCCCTACCTACAAATCTCAAGCCACACAAACACAGAAAATTGTATTAAGTTGCCCCCAAACTATGAATCTATAGTTAGAAGCGTATTGTGAAGTGGAGGATAAAATATACTAAAAATGACGGCAAACACAAATTTGACTCTTAAACTCGATCATGGGGAAAAAAAAAAAAAACTCGATCATGAAACTTAACAACCACCATGAAAAGGAAACCACCATGAAAAAAGGAAAGTTAATAGACTATATATCTCTTGTTACTGAAAGGGAAGAAACATTACTTACTATTCCAGGTATACAATGTTTTCCTGGAAACAAAGGAAAATTCTTTCGATGGTTCATTCTACCTGGACCACTTGATAATATATATATAGAAAAATGTCAGACGTTAATAAGAACTCACAGTTTTTACATCAAAATCAAAAACCATATAAAAGTTCAATGTAAACTCATAAATACCATTAAAAAAAAACAGAAAGTGTTAAACTTTTTGTTCCCCAAACTATATAGAAAGGAGTAGTTTCCTTAATATTAGGAAGGTGCGTATAAATAAATTAGAAAAAAAAGAGAAAAAAGAGAAAAAAGAGAAAATTAGAAATTGGGATAATGACATGAACAGGCAGTTTATAGGGGAAAAAATGAAATGGCTTTGAAATATATGAAAATACAGTCTACTAGCTATTAGTGAATGCAACTTAAAATAAAAAAAAGAAGATCTGGTATTCTCAGATCTCTGATGAAGATAAATTAGATTTGATGGCACAGCGCATGCTGGCAGAGATAGAGGTACCATCCCTCTCATGCCACCATGGATTGTCGTCTCCACTGCTCGTTGGGGGGCATTTCTGCAAATTCTCCACCCTACATAACTGCACGCATTTGCAAATATTTCCGAAAATATGGTCATTAAATCACAATAGATATTGTAGTCTAAACACGGAGAGTCTGTTAATGATTGGTAAAATATTGACCCTCAAATATTGAAATTTTACACAATGTTTAATAGATCTAAGTATATACTCAAACACAGAGAACTCTAATATTTATTCTTAGGAGCATAAAGCAAAGTACAAGTCAGTATGCTTTTTACTTTCTCACTCAAAAAGGGGGAATGGGATGTGTATATATGCACATATGTGTGCAGACACGTGCGTGGAATATTTTTTGAAAGATCCACAGAAACTATCAATAAACTGAGGACTACAACAGGGATATAAAATGGGCAACAGCCTCATTTTTATATAACTTTTTTTTTTTTACTATATATTTAGACTTGCATTTTTTTATCATGTGCCATTACTTCTAAAATTAGCGGGGTGGAGAGAAGGTCAATGATTTCCCAAAGGCTTTCAAATAACGTGCAAGAAAATAACTAATATACAATGCAGGATTTTGGGTGCAGGTTATGTAGTTACATTCCAGAGAACCCGAGTCCCCCAAAGTTTACGTGGCACCGCTGCAGAATCTGATGGGGGGGGGCGAGTGGTCGAAATTATACTTCTCACCCCCACTTCAATCAAAGCACCTGCTTTTACCTGTTTTTGTTTTTGTTTTTTTTAACAAGCTTTAATTCACTTTTATTTTTCTTGTATAAAACTATGTGGTAGCCACAGCTGGAGCCGGGGTCCTCTGCACGGAGACTGTGGTGTGGGTCTTTACAAGATGGTCAGTGAATTCCTGATAGGGAGACTTGGTGAACACAGTCTCTTTCCAGAGATCAGGGGTGAGATAGCTGTAGGTCTTGGAGATTGCATCAAAAGTAGCCTTGGCAAAGTTCCCCAGGGTGGCAGTGCGGCCCCTGGCCGAAGTGTAGCAGTCGTCAATACCAGCCATCATCAGTAGCTTCTTAGGCACTGGGGCTGAGACAATGCCAGTGCCTCTGGGGGCAGGGAGATGCACCAGCACAGAACCACAGCGACCAGTCACCTTGCATGGGACAGTGTGGGGCTTGCCGATCTTGTTCCCCCAGTAGCCTCGTCGCACGGGGACGATGGAAAGCTTGGCCAGGATGATGGCCCCATGGATGGCGGTGGCTACCTCCTTGGAGCCCTTGACGCCCAGACCTATGTGTCCATTGTAATCTCCGATGGCAACAAATGCCTTGAACCTGGTCCGCTAGCCATGGACGAGGAGAGGTGCCCTCACTCGCCCTGTGCTGACCAAGGAGCAGCTGGACAACCAGTTGGATGCATACATGTCGAAAACAAAAGGACACCTGGATGCCGAGTTGGATGCCTACACGGCACAAACAGATCCAGAAACCAATGATTGAAACCCGTCCACCCTACTGTGAGAGACTCTTATTCAAAAGTCACCACATCTGTAAATAACCCTGAGATGACAGATGGAGAAGAAACCTGATCAATGCTGGAAGGACCTATCACAATAGGCTATGGACTTATTTGCCACCAGTTTGTGCATTTAGTGTGTTCCTTTTATTTTTTTTTTTTTTTTTTGATACTGTGTTGTATGAAACCTTTCTTTCCTCTGGGGAAAAAAAAAAAAAAGAAAGAAAGAAAAAAAAAAAAAAACATTACAAGCACTGCACTTGCCAGTGCACTGATTGAGAATCACTGAGAATTCCACTTCATCTCCAGCCTGTAGCTCAATGCAATCTTGAACTTCTTTCACATGGAAAAAGAGCTTCTTGCTATCTCCTACTTCATAAATAATGAAGCCAAACTGGTCCTTCACACACTCCACTGTGGCTCTACGCAGGGGTGTGATGTTGTAGGCCATAGTCTGTGCATTCTGGCCCAGGACACACAACTGGAACTTGACACTCTCTCCTTTCTGTAGGCAATCCCCTTTGTTGGGGATTACGTGGCAGCCACAGAAAATGCTTTGTTTGAATGGGGAAAATCTACTGTTAGACAAGTTTGAGAATTCTTGACATATGGGAATTCACTAACAACATATCCCCCAGCTGTCAACTAGGATACAGGAGACAGCTGGCTAGTTTGATTTTAGCCTACATCACTCCGTGATACTTGAAGGACTCTTATAAACATATGCAGCTGCCACAAGCCATAAAGTCTCCTACTGACCTGTCTTGTTGGAGCACATTCGATTATGGGCAGTATCTATAAAAAGCATTTGCAATTTATTTGCCAAATTTCCAAACAGGAGAAAGACTCCCAAACACGAAAATACGTGTTCTGTATTTAATTCTGTACGGTTTCCAGTTTAATGTAACAGAATCATTCCTCTCCAGCCTTGATAACTTTGTCACATTTCCTGAGGAACCAGTTGTTGGAATCTTTGACTTCATAGACGAGAATGCGACGTTTTCCTTAATAAAACGTTTTCATATGCCAAGTTTTGGCTTAGTTACTATTGGTCTTTGCTTGCCTTGCATTCCTTTTCTGACTGCACTAAACAGGTCTTCTTTCTTAGGTCATTTATGGGTATTATCTGAAATGCCTTGGTCCAAGATGCCTGGGTTGAACATCTGCCTTTGGCTCAGGTCATGATCCTGGGGGTCCTGGGATCGAGTCCCACATCGGGCCTCTCCACAGGGAGCCTGCCTCTCCTTCCGCCTGGGTCTCGGCCTCAGTGTTGCTCATGAATAAATAAATAAAATCTTTTTAAAAAAATAAAATAAAATGCATTGACTCCAATATTTTATTGCTGAATGCACAACCTGCTTCTACATCAGAGCCCACGTCTGCTTCCTCAAGAAAACGCCCTGTGAAGCAGAGGGCTGCTCCTGACACCACTTTCTTCCTAACTTTTGTCATTTGGACAGGAGGATTTTTTCCTGATGTTCCTGTTACAAACAGGTGAAATATCAGTCTTTCCCACAAGGCATAATTTCTATAAATTGTGTCCCCCCTCTTATGTTTAACATCCTTTTTTCAGCCACATTAGTCTACTGGATTCTACACAGATGTCTAATAACTCTTAGGAACAGATCCATATCTAGGGTCGACCTGCATTTCTGCACTTAATTTTCATCAGTGTTACTCTTCCCTTGATCCCTTTCCACGGGTCAGCCCCCTGTGGCTCTTCTTGGACTTTCCGACCCCAAGGCAAAGTGATGGCTTCATTTGTTCTCAGCTCCAGTGAGATCCCAAATAAGACTTCTATCCACCTGGAAGGACAGGTCTCACATAGGGTTTTTCTTTTTTTTTTTTTTTTCACATAGGATTTTCAAACAAAATTCAGGTTTGGATATTCTGTGTGGTTACTAAGCAGGTTTCAATTCCTGAATGTTATCCTATAGGTATAATCACAGAGACTCTCCATTAGCATCCGACTAGATGTGAATGGGAACTTAACAAAAGCTCATACCCCCCAGAAACCATATTTTCACCGAAAAATTAAATGGAAGTTTTCTCCACCATAATCTATTGTACACTTGATTTTTACAGTGAAAATCAACCTATTCCCTATAACTTCACTGATCTGACAGGTAGAGCAGGGCCAAGTAGTTTGTAGGAATGGATTCAACTTCAATGCCTCCCCATCACCTGGAACTGAGCCACCAGAAATCTGCAAGCTGTCCTGCTTTTTTTTTTTTTTTTTTTTAATAGGTAGAGGGCAGGGAGGGGAATCAGACCACCAGAGGTAACCAGTTCCCTCCCTGACTAATTCTGGGAGACGACTGAGCTGGATTAAAAACACCGATCGCATGCCTCTCTTACAGCTGTGTTAATATAACTGCATACGCACATCCAAACAATAGAGTGAGGAATGGTGTAAAGCCGAAATGAAGGCCCGACGGAGAATCAATCTCTTGCAGAGTCAGAGCTGACATTTCAGCTTCCCTGAGGGAGACTGTAGGGAAAGTGAGGGGCAGACGGTGGCAGGCTGTCTGCAAGAGGGAGGTGAACTGAAGAGCTGTCAGCTGGGTGGGGAGGTGGGGAGGAGGTAGGAAATATTCAGCTGTGCTTTCCTGCTTGAAACAAGCCAGCAAAATTACTATTTTTTTTTCCATTTCAAAAGATAACTCCTCCCTAGAATACATCCTTGCTTACTTCTCTCTCAATGATGGATGTACAGTTTCGCATCTAATCTTCACGCTAATTTGCAACAACGTCACTCTGAAGCATCAAGGGGGTGGTTGATAAGAGGAAGAATGGAAGACGGTTGTGAGTGAAGTTAAAAATAGAAATACAGGACATCCTTACAGAACATGTTCAAAACCTCAAAACCCATGCACATCTCCCAGGAAGCCAGATTTCCCAATGTCTCTGCAATCCTGGACGGACCCTTCTGGCATTCTGGGGAGTTGCCTCCCTAGAGGAACACGTTATCAAGATACCCACAGAGCCTCTTCAACTCTCAACTGTAATTTCCAGTCACCTCCATTCCTGTCTCAAAGCCAGCATCTCAAGCAGTACTCATGTACTATCTTTGAAGTCTAGGAGGAGTTTAAATACCCAAATATAATGTCTTTATGAAAAAAATTTTAAAATAAACACCCGGGGGGGGGGACTTTGGTATCTTGCAAACTGGTGAATACATTATAAATCCCAAGTTAGTAGTTGAATTCAGCATTTTCAACTCTTTTAATAAAAATATTAATTTGGGGATATTTTTATTTAGAGATTTTGATAGAGTGAGCACACAGGAGCGGGGGAGGGGGAAGGCAGCAGGAGAGGGAGAAGCAGACTCCTCGCTGAGCAGGGAGCCCGATGTGGGGCTCGATCCCAGGATCCTGAGATCATGACCTGAGCCGAAGGCAGACAAGTGTCACCGATGGAGCCACTCAGGTGCCCTGGAATATTTTCAGATTTTCAGAAAACCTGGGGACAGAGTTTCCACATACTCCATACCCAGTGTGTCCTATTATTAAAATCTTACACGATGATTCATTTGTCACAACTATGAATCAGTATCGATCTACTATCTTAATCTTAAGTTCATGCTTTATTTAGATTTTCTAGTTGATACCCAAGGTCCTTCTTACTCTTTCATGGCTCCAGCCTGCCATCTGGAATACCATGCATTTGTTGTCATGTCTCCCTAGGCTTTTGGAGGTGACAGTTTCTCAAACTTTGTTTCTGATGCCCGTGACAATTCTAAAGTATATGGATCAGGTATTTTGTAGAATGCTCTTCAACTGAGATCCTTTAACTGTTTCCCCATGGTTCAGTTGAGGTTTCTGGTTTTGGGGAGGACAACCACAGAGGTAATGTGCCCTGTTCATCTGTTCAGGTTTATCCACCGTAAACATATTTTCCTGCCTTTTCATATAGTACTTTTTGTAGAGAAGTCATTACCAGGCCACACTTCACGAGGGGGAGTTACATCCCTTCATCCCCCCAGAGACTGGAGGACTCATAAAATATTTGTGGTTCTTCCACAGGAGAAGCTTGTCTTCTCTCCCCCACTTGCTTATTCGATTCTTTCTTTCTATCAGCATGGGGTGTAAGGATATTTATTTTATACTCTGGGTTATACTATCCAAGGTCAATCTATCGTGCACATCGTTCCATATTTGGCCATCAGGAGCTCTTTCAGGAATCATCTGAGTCCCCTTCATATGACCCCATGACTGTGGGCTTTGTTTTCTGAACTTCCTAGCTTTCTGGAAAAATCAGATTTTCCAGGCTCCTGTAACATGTTCCTTGTCTGAGTCCTAGTGAGCTCACTAGTGGAGGCACATCTCTCTCTGTATGTGTTTCTCCATGTACCTGACCAGATCTACAGTGAGCTAAAGAGGAGCTCATCATGCACAGACCGTTCTAGACTTCTCCCTCCAGCAATGAGAAACTTGGCTCCCACAGACCACCAGCCTTTCAAAATTATTTGCTTGGGGACGCCTGGGTGGTTCAGTCAGTTGAGTGTCTGGTCAGGATCCTGGGGTCTAGGGATGGAGACCGATGTCAGGCTCCCTGCTCAGTGGGGTGTCTGCTTTTCTCTGCCCTTCCCCACACTGATGCTCTCACTCCCACTCACTTTTTCAAATAAAACCTTTAAAAAATTATTTGCTTATCAGATTCTGTAGCTTTCAAAGTCTACCGGTGGAGCCTGGGTGGATACACACACACTTTAAAAGACTTCCGAGATCATTAGGTCCATCCTCCCTCCTACATAGGTGGGGATTGAGGCTTACATGACTTATCAAAGGTCATAAAACTAACTGTGGATGTATTTACAACAAAAGTCAGCTGTCTTCTCATTAAAATTATTGAGCATCTTAGGCTTTAGAATGATTCAGCCAAATATTTGTATTACAGATGAAGAAACTTTACACCCACAGAGTTTAATGTTTTACAACTTGTTAATGACAGACTAAAGGACATGTAAAACAGGGAATAATGTGAATAATGTAAAACAAGAAATAATGACAAGCAAATCCCATACTTACCTGAAAAAAATCAAAATTTTAGTGATCAAAATGCCATCTTTGGCTAACCTATGAGTTCATATCACCCTATTTTAGAGACAGATACTTAAAGTAAATGTAAAATTATAGCTAAAATATTTTGAAGTAGATAATGATCCGTGGCTCAGCACTGAAGGAAAGTGAATCCATTTAGGTAATTACAGAATTACTCACTGAGATACAATGGTTAGCTTAAATTCTTCTCATTTCTACATAACTGGAAACAATGTCATTCCAATGGTCTTGACCACCTCACCATCAGTTATAAAGGAAATAAATGTTGATATAGGTCTGCCAAAGTGATGGGATCAAAGACTTACTATTATTTGCTTTACATAAGAGTTAATATTTATGGAAAATATTAATTTCATTACAAGTAAGCAATTTCTTGGTTACTAGCATA